ATACGCTAATTTTAAAGCAAAATGAAACTCTTAAAAAATTTGCACTAATCACAGTTAAGTTTTTCCAGTAGTAACTTTGCTATTCAGAAAAAAAGAAAAAACAAACAAAACACAACAAGCAGTTTGGAAGCATCAAGGCTACCCATTCTGGAAGAAGAACAAATACCAACTGACAGTTAACTATACCTGCTACTTAGCTAACAATTCTTCCAAAAGTATGGCCAAAAGCTTTAATTATGTTTTAGGCATGTTTACTGTTGAGGATTTGCATTAGAAGGAACAGCCAAGTGGCAACAGTTATTATTCATAAGGTTGCAGTCTCTGTACTCAATCTTCACCATGTTATGAACTCTTCCCAAACAGTCTAGGAGCAAAAGTCTTTGTCAATTTTTTATTTTACTTTAAAAAATGAAAGCATATTGGGATTACTACGAAGCAACAGTGAATTCATTCTTAAGCAGAGACAGAACTTTGATATGGTAATAAGGGTCCTAATGCTTTGAGCAAAGTCAGCTTTAGGAACCCGTAAGAATAATGGTCTAAGAAACCATTCGGCTCCATTAAACTGGATGCAGAAGTGACAGACCACCTCTGTGGCACAGAGCTCCCTGATGCACCCAACTTGAGTAGCACCAAACTTTAGGAAAAAGACTGGAAAAGAGAAATGAAAGTTAGAGAGGATGAGACCAAAGGCCCCTTTTTAACATTACTTTGCCGAACTTCCAGAAAAATCTTTTAAGTTGATCTAGGCTTCTTTACACACAATCCTACCACATGAGAAAATTTTGTGAGAGCTATTGGTTATTGTGAGATAAATTTTCTTTTCTTCCTGGAGATTTTTTTTTTTTAAATTCTAGAAATTATGGTGACATTTACCTCTCTAACTTATTCTAAACATTCCACACTATAAATTATTAGGGTATTATTCTTCATTAGAACCATAAATAGCATATTAAGTTGCATCACTAACAGAAGATGACAATCTCGTTTCTCAATCTAGAGTATTTGCATTAAATCAAAGCACTTGGATTTACAGAAAACGACATTAAAGTAGTGATAATAAGGGAAAACTGCCAATAATGATTTTTTTAAAGATAAAACTGGCTGCCACTTAACATTATAATGCTGTGATCCTAGGTTCCTAGTATCAAGTTGCAAAAGACAAAGAGAGAATATTTTTGATTTATTTATTATTATTAGTTAAGGTATTACAAATGTGTCCTCATCCCCCCCCCCATTAACCCCCAACCTCTCCCCCCACCCCGCACACTCATGCTCCCATCCCCCTGTTGTCCATGTCCATTGGTTTGGCCTATATACATGTATACAAGTCCATCGGTTGATCTCTTCCCCTTACCACACCCCTCCCCT